AGTAGTGTAGACTATACATTCTGATTTTGTTAGAGTATATATGATAGGGACATAAACGTGCAACAGTAGTGTAGACTATACATTCTGATTTTGTTAGAGTATATATGATAGGGACATAAACGTGCAACAGTAGTGTAGACTATACATTCTGATCTTGTAAGAGTTGTGGATGTAAATATAACAATGTAACAGCAATTGTAATTTCTTCAATGCATTTATCAGCAGTTGATGGTCCATACATTTACGTAACAATCATCGGTTGTATATTACGTCGAATGAAAGACATGTAATAAAAATCACACTGCATGATAACAGCAAACTTCCTTCAAAAAAAGCGAACCTAATTGTAGACATTTCAATACATAACAAACCAATAATATTAAAATAGTACAATCTAAATTTACATTGATGTTTATATGTCTACAACAATTAAAATTCACAAGTCATTCATTATTACAATCCTTCAACTTCATGTTAACAAATTGTTCCACCAGTTCGTTGTAGATGAATTATTTTGTTAGGTTTTGTTGTAATTGTAAATGTGCAACACAGTTAGTCACATAATATTACCTGAAATTTTAGTTGTAATTTGTCAAAATTTGAATTGTTTTCTACAATTCTGTGAATATATATTGTATGCTGGCTGGATTTTGTTAGATTAATTTGAAATATACCCTGAAATTGTGGTGTATCAGGTACAAATTATGAGAAAATAAAATTGGAATTTCCAAATTTAAATATTTTTTTTTTAATTGGGACTTTAGATAGCGGTACCCTGAACCGCTATCTAAACGTACTAAAGAGAGTAGTTCTAGACCTAACCGCTATTAAAAGTATATTTTAGAGAGCGGTTAACTTGGAACCGCTATTATATGTTCACTTTTAAGAGCGGTCAAAGTATTAACCGCTCATAAAAGTGACACATATATGATAGCGGTTCCACTTTAACCGCTCTTAAAAGTGAATCAGATATCGCTCGAGCGAGACTAGTGTCGCTCAAGCGAAACACAACCCGAGAATCCCCAATCTTAGCAGGTGTCGTCGCTCGAGCGATGTGAAATTCGCTTGAATGATATTAGAAAAATCAGATAAAATGATCGATTATTTTATGTTATAATCGATTATATGTTATGATGATCGATTATAAATGGTATATGATCGGTTATATTTTGCTAATGAAGTCAAATCTGTTATTAACAAAGTATTGGGTGTCAAGGACCTTTGGGGCTATCACCTCCTTCGTGGTCACAGTTTGGGTACTTGAAGAAGTCGCTTCTGAGTGGGTGCGCTTGGAGCTTTTTCTTTTGCCCGCCATGGTTTATGTTTACGACTATTGAGATAGTCAATAGTGAACGAAAACAGAGAATAGAGAATCTGCGAGTAATTAGAAAGCAAAGAATACATTAACCTCGATGGTTGTTGTATGCTTCTTCTTTACAATGCAAACGAAATCAAACAAGATGAACCATCAAATTACAAAACCGAAATCAACAACCATATTAAACCCTACACCAAATGAACAGAACCCTATATTAAACATAGACGAATCAGAGCCGGGAGAGAACGAACGCCGGGAGAGAACGAACGTTTCTTTTGCGTGCGCTGGCGAGAGAGATGCAGAGCGAAATTATGTAAAACTATAATCGCTTAGCACAAACTATGATCGATGTTCTCCAACTATAATCGATCATTCTCAATTATAATCGGTTATCAAAATTTATGATCGATTATTATCCAGTTATAGTCGATCACTTTGACATATATGACTTTAGATAGCGGTTATTTGGTCATCCGCTATCTAAACTACATTTATTATAGTGTTCCAAGGGTCAACCGCTCTTTAAAAGTATGATATAAGGGAGCGATTAAAAAAAAACCGCTATTATAAACATACGTTAGACAACGGTTCACAGCTAACCGCTATCTAATATATATTTTTAAAAGCGGTTCTTAGTAACCGTTATCTAAGGTCTGTAGTCTGTGGTTCAATAGTCGCTCAAGCGAGGATAACATCGCTTGAGCGATGGAACCTTAACCAATGGGGACCCTCGGGTTCTGTCTCGCTCAAGCGATGTTATGAACGCTTGAGCGACAAGTGATTCTAATATGTGGTGAACCAAGTAATATTATTTGGCTAACTGCGTTTGACGTTTCGTCATTGGGTCTACACTCGCTCAAGCGATAAAGGCATCGCTTGAGCGAAGAATCCTTCAAACAAGGGGGACTCTCGGGTTCTGTATCGCTCAAGCGACGGTTTACTCGCTTGAGCGACAAGAGATTCTTGTATGTGTTCAACCAAGTTATATTATATGGCTAACTGCGTTGGACGTTTTCTAAGTAGGTCAACAGTCGCTCAAGCGAGGAAACCATCGCTCGAGCGACGATACCTTCAAACAATGGATTCTCGGGTTCTGTCTCGCTCAAGCTATTTTATGATCGCACGAGCGACAAGTGATTCGAATATGTGGTGACCCATGTTATATTATGTGGCTACCTGCGTTGGACGTTACGTTTACGGCCAACATTAGCTCAAGCGATAATTCCATCGCTTGAGCGAGGTACCCTTACAAAAAATAGGGACTCTCGGGTTGTTTCTCGCTCAAGCGACGTTATTCTCGGTCGAGCGGCAAGTGATTCAAATATGTGGTTATCCATGTTACAGTATGTGGCTAACTGCATTGGACATTTCGTCTGTGGCCAAGGCTGAACTTGAATGAGACGTGACATGCAAATTTCAATCTGTTTTTGGTTAAGCGCATTCTTTACAACTATTAAGCATGAAGTTATCTGTTAAGCATGAAGTTATCTGTTATCTTCATCTTCATATGTTCGTAAAATATAAATCTGGTAGTAATTAAATGTATTTTGTACAACTGTGGTTCTCAATATACACTCTCTGTTACATGGATATAGTCTGCATCATCTGAATAGGGATATTGTGCAACCGGAACGGTAAAACCCAATCAATAATGTAATTGTCAAAATAATAAAAAAATGATACCAAAAATAGTAACCATGGTCCAAAAATCAGTCACTTGTTAATGTCATAATATTTAACATTTAAATGATCCATAACCAACTTAACAGTTATATTACATATGAATAAACTATATAACATTCATCAATGAAGATGAACAAATAATCAAATACAATATCTACATTTCTATTCCTAGATGAGGATGTTAACTCCTGATTCAATAACCATGACTTGTCGATGAAGATTTTGAGGATGAAGTACCCATCTCGCATACATATTCTTCTCGAAATTTCGAACTTGCTCTTGTACAATATGAAGAATGTCATAATAAATTATATTCATAGTAATAAAAAACAAAACAATAATACAATGACTTTAATGTTTACCGATGTGTAATGAGGCATGCTTTTCCCATTCACTTTGCTCACACCATCCCACAACTCCATATATTTTAAAACAAACAATCCACAATCATACTCGCACAATTGAATGTAGTTATTACACACATTACATACAACATTTTGCAAACAAAATTTCAACTATAATAACATACTAACATGTTTGGTTGAATTGGCAAGTCCTCCTTTGTAACCTTAAGTTCTCCAGTGGTCCTCGATGACTTTGTTTCCAACAACGACAATAGATGTTCAAAACATTGCAACTGCTCACAATATTACATTATTCGCCAAATAAACATAGCTCTGAATTAACTATATTACCTACGTAAACAACTTAAAACAAATATTTACTATAGCTCTATCAATTGGTTTTCGTGATCTATTATCATGGCCCAATGAATCTAATATAAACAGTTCTCCATCCTTACATTTCAAGACATAACACCACCAATGACCATTGTGTACAGAGGGAGCAAAGATCTGAAATAGAAAAAACTCTGGTTAATTGAATTTTACAAAATGTAAAATGTTTGTCATGCACATAACACCATCAATGACCATTGTGCATATTATACAAAATGTTTGTCATGCAAATACAATTCTTCATTGTAGCATTTCATCAAACACTTGTTGGACATTAATATAGCATCACAACTCAATTAACCCTAAACCCTACAGAATACTTTCATTACAAACCCAATCAACGATAAACAGAAAACAAAGCAAGAATGCGCAAATACAATTCTTCGTTATAGCATTTCATCAAACACTTGTTCGACATTAATATAGCATCACAACTCAATTAACCCGTGAAAAACACCTTCATTACAAACTCAATCAAAGATAAACAGAAAAGAAAACAACAATGGAAACCCAATAAAAAATACACACAAAATCAAGCAAATGATGTTAAACGAACACTCACCGCAGGGTCGCTCAAGCGACATACAGTGATGTTCAGCTCCAACGACACGGAGGAAGACAAGCAACAGGAAGTCGAGCGCCGTGAAGAGCGAGACGGAGAAGACAAGCGAAAATTTACCCTAAGTCAAGCGAGAATGTGTCAAGCGAAAAATACTCTACCTTCTTCAAACATATATTTCAACTTTTTACCATAACATCCCCCATTTTTACAATATTACATCTCTGACCCCCGTACAATTTTACTAATTAAACCCTTATTTTTAATTAATTTATTTTTGACCCCAGTTGTGGAACGTATGTTTGTTTTCCGGTTGTCAAAATATCGTTTTCGTTTTTTATTCAATAACACTGTACATTTATTATTTTTTTTATTGGATTGTCGAACGGATGTTTAAAATAGGTTGAGAAAATATCAGGACTCTTTTGCGTAAGAAAAATGATACTTTGACACCCCAATTTTATACAACTTTAACAAACAACTCACTTTTAATATTATAATAATAATTTTAACTTGTTTTCATTTTTATTTAATCTCTTTCATGATTATTATATTAATAAAATGGGTTGTTTTTGGATTTGTTTTTTCTTACGGGTGTCAAAGTATCAGGACCCTTTGCGTAATAGATAGTGTGAAAAGAAGCAACTTGAGAGTGTGAAAAAAAAAAAGAACATATGGGTTGGTTGGTGCACGGTAACGCCGAATGGTTGAAGCAGCCTCGGTCTTGGTCTTGTCCGAAAAGGAAAAAGAGAAGATTCAAACCGAGTACGCGTTGGTTTATGGTTTCATCGTGATCATGGTCATGATGGACCCTCCTCTCATAAAACCAACGCAGCCACACAACATAACCCCATCCTGACGTTTTCACAACTGAGTCTTCTCCACAACTTTTACCAACCCATCTTTGTCTTTGCTTCATTACATTTTTTCTTCACCTTCTGAGGTTTGTTGCATCCGTTTTTTTTTCTGCCTTTTTTTTTTTGGGTAGCCTTTGATCATGGCTTTGTGGTATGCTTTTTCTTTCTCCTTTGTCTTTGGGATAGTTGCAAGCTTTTTAATTGTTTGTGGGGAAGATGGTAGTTCTGAGCAGTTTCTTTTCTTTTCAAAAGTTCTTATGTTTATTTTTTTTTTAGTTGAGCTTGGTTATTCATACTGTTTCTGTTATTGTTGAATTTAGTTCAGTTTTTCATTATTGATGTTCTTTGAGCTGTGAAAAGCTGCACAAATTGAATTGGTGTGAAGATAATTGACATTTGACCCCTAAAAGAATGTAGCTTGGTATGCAAAGCATAGTAATCAGATGTAAGGGCAAGAGAAATTGTGTAATATAGTAAAAAAGCTTGGTAAACAACAATATTTGTGAAACTTCTGAATTCAGAGATTGAGATGCATGTAAAATGATAGAGATAAAGAAATGGAACTTATTAAAGGATTGAAAAGAAAATACATGATTTGAGTTTATGGCTGATAAAGAAAGTTTGTGCTTTTGATCAATTCAATCAGTTTGTGCTTTTTTCTTGTTTATTGATTTATTTGTGTCTTATGGTATGGCTTTGAGAACATTTGTGGCAAAACTTGAGCTATGGTATCAGTTATTAGTTTCTGTATGTCAGACCTGTTATGGAAAATTAAGAATTTACTTTGGTATGCTCTTGAGAGGCCTAAGATTTTTTGCATTATCTTTTATCATGTTCAATTAATTATATGTACTTTCTTCCCACTTTATTTCTCTTCAAAACATTAACACATTTTGATGGTTCAACCAGGTGACCTTGGAAATAATTTCATTGGAAGCAATTGATACCATTTGACATTTGAATCTCCTTGTACACCATTCAGCTATGACTTGTTTTCCTTTATTGTTCAGTAAGTCGTCTTCTTCAGCCAGACAAGATCCAGAAATTGATGAAGGTAACTTGAGTTCATGTAATACCAATTAAAGTAGGTTATAACAAGATGACATTGTATTGTTTCTTAATTTGATTTTTTCCAGCTATGTGATTGTGTTCTCGAATTGTGATATCTGTTATCTGTTGTATAATACATTCATAAAAGTTCTGAATTGAGTCTTAGAGTAATTGATTTTTTTATAAATATTTCAGGCATTCACAATGTTAAACTCTACTCCTACAAAGAATTAAAAAATGCCACCGAAGATTTTAGTCAAGCCAATAAAATCGGAGAGGGTGGTTTTGGTTCTGTCTACAAGGTAAATTAAATCATGCTGTATGCAACATCTCAACTATTGGTCAAATCGTTGTCTTTTCCTCCTCCTTGTGGATGACAATATTGATGATGAAACCTTGACTTATTATGGTGAATGATCAGGGACGACTTAAAGATGGAAAAGTTGCTGCAATAAAAGTTCTTGCTGCTGAATCAAGACAAGGAGTGAAGGAGTTCTTGACAGAGATTAAAGTGATCTCAGAGATAGAGCATGAAAATTTGGTTAAGTTATATGGTTGTAGTGTGGATAAAAATAACAGAATATTAGTCTACAATTACCTTGAGAATAACAGCCTCTCACAAACGCTTCTAGGTAAATGATTTTTCTTTTCTTTTCAATTATTTTTTTGGTTTATCATCTGTTGATGCTTATAGCATGAAACATAGATAGTAGTCTCGTTTCATAGAATCCATTCTCTAGGAGCATTGTTGGAGAAAGCCTTCTGCTTAAAGCTTTCTGGCAGAATTTGAGAAGAAAGACTTATTCCAGATTTGTTTTTCCCATGAGCCAACTATGCCTAAAGCTTAAGATGTTTGGTGGAGACATATGAATTGTTGTATATTACATCTCTAACATGTCCCTCCTCACACAAGAGCCTTTTGGGCTTGAAGTGTACATAATGCATAGACCTACCTACTCTGTGTTGAAATTGAGCTTACAATTAGAAGAATGAGGACATCAAGGATTGAAATGTAGACTATCTAGTCATGAATAAACTATATTAAAAGCTTCAATTGTTAAGTGAAGACACATGAATGTTTCATATTATACTTATGACAGTTTTTCTAACTAGTCTTAGACTCTCTCAACCTTACTCTAATTCTTTTTTAATCAATTTTTTTCTCTTTATTTATAGGTGGAAGTCACGGTAGGATCTACTTTGATTGGCGAACAAGATGTAAAATAAGCATTGGGATTGCTCGTGGACTGGCCTATCTTCATGAAGAAGTAAGGCCTCATATTGTTCACAGGGATATAAAGGCAAGCAATATCCTCCTTGACAAAGATCTTACACCCAAAATTTCAGATTTTGGTCTTGCGAAGCTTATTCCAGCAAACATGACTCATGTCAGCACTCGTGTGGCAGGAACAATGTAAGTATTGTCAAAAAGAAATTTGAGGTTTTTATTTTTTTTATCTTGCCTTTTTCCCCTTGAAATTGCAAAGCAGCCTTCCTGCTTCCAAATTTGAAGACTTGGTCACTCCCCCTCAATTTACACATGGAAATTAACACTTCTTGGGGTATGTTCTGACCGGTCAGAATGCATAGGAACATTAGAATATAGTTAACGAGATTGATAGTATTTTTACATTTAATTTGTGACTCTTGGAATTGGGATCTAGGACTTAACTCAATTCTATAAAACCAACTAATAAAGTAATGATTATCCAAATCTTAAAAGGATTACATTAGTCATATATCTGTAATTGATGTGAAATCTCAACCATCAACATACCCCTAGAATCTAGGACTGAACATTTGGTGCGTGGACTTATGTAGATAATAATAACACCCCTCATACCTTGGGATAGACATCCAGAGCAAAGACAAAAATATTAGTAGCCTAAAAAATTGATTTAGAATAAACTCTAATATCATGTCAGAATTTGAGTTTAGGGTATAATTCAACCTTACAAATTGATTTTTAAAATGAGAATTTTCAAACCTTGTAAAGATTACATTAGCCAAATCTTCAGTCAATATGAGATATCAACAGTAACAATCCATTTTAATGTCAATTGATGACATTGGATTTATATTCATGTTTTCTCATAGCATCAATTATCACTGTTTTAGTGGTGCAATAAAATTGAGATAGTGCTTTGCATGATTTTTTTGTTCAAAAACTAGACTGCACACATTATAGTACTGGTTCCAATTCATCTATTTAAACAAAATACCTGAGATAATAATTGACAGTGATGCTAACCTGAGTTGTTAATGCGTGTTGCCGGAATCATTCATATTTGCTTTGGAATATATATATATATATATATATATATATATATATATATATATATATATATATATAATTTTTTACTTTTTCATACCTTACCCTCCTTACATAAGATAGAGGAACGCTTCTCTTTGGCTGTTTACATAAGCAAGTAAAAATTCTGAACAATTATTTTATATCAGAAATTTGCTGATGCATGATTTATTTCAGAGGTTATTTGGCACCCGAGTATGCAATAGGGGGGAAGCTAACACGGAAAGCAGATGTTTACAGCTTTGGTGTCCTCCTTGTGGAGATAGTTAGTGGAAGATGTAACACAAACTCACGATTACCAATAGAAGAACAATTTCTTCTAGAGAGGGTATGCTTGTTTCATATTTCCAATTGAATTGGCATGCCTTTTACTATAACCAATTCTTCCAATCAGTTTCTTTATCATCTTCATCTATTCTAACAAAACCTTAATTAACCATATTCATTTGTAATTACGTACCTGAAGTCCCCAATGTTTAACCGTTTGTGCTCATCTACATTGAACTTTACCTCCTTCTTTGGTTTGAACTGCTAGCAGACCATTTGTAATTTTTTTTTTCCATAAAGTAAAAATTGAAATGATATCTGAATTATGTTCATATAGTTGTAATTGTGCTAGGCATATATATTGGTGATTCTGATATCAATATAATAGGAAGCCACCTATTACAAAGGTGTGTATCATGTTGGCCTCAGGGAGGGCATGTTAATATAATGGATTGAAAGAGAAGCAATCAAGGAGAATTGGGATCTCAAGGAGGGAATGATTAATGTAACAGATTGCCAGTGAGGTAATCAAGGGGAACTAGTAGGGAAAGTTTGACATGTATGGGCATAAAAAGGAGAGGGGAAAGGGAAAAAATGGAGAAGAGTGAGGGAATTTGCAGGGTCTCTCAGCTAAAAATACTGGCGTATCTATTTCTATTTTCAATTCTTTGAATTCCATTGTACATCCTCCCCTTTGATACTGATTTCAGACTAATATCAGTATCTAGGGAAGAGTAATACTGTAGATTCAAAGTAACTGAATGTGTTTTCATCCAGTTTCTTTCAGAATGTATAAGGACCATGTCTGTTCTCCTTTTCTCCAGAAGAAAGTCTTTGTTATGATTAATTTGTACCCTGAAATTTCAGCTTTACATTTTTTTCTAGGTTTTGGCATTTCATGGCATAAGTATGATAATATTCTAAAACATCATATGAGATTTCTGGATTTTCTCTTATTTTAGCTTCTGTTCTTACAGACATGGGAACTTTATGAGCGAAAGGAATTGGTTGGACTGGTAGATTCATCACTGCAAGGGGAATTCGACGCCGTGCAGGCTTGTAAGTTTATGAAAATTGGTCTTCTTTGCACTCAGGAATCGCCAAAGCTCCGGCCATCCATGTCTTCTGTGGTGAAGATGCTCACGGGAAAAATGAATGTTGATGACAGTAAGATAACAAAACCTGCCTTAATTTCTGATTTTATGGACCTCAAAGTTAGAAGGGAAGAAGAAAGTGGTAGTGACGTGAAGAATTCATCTATGTTCAATACATCCTCTTCTTCATACAACCATGACACTACCATGTCATCTGCCACAACTACAACTTTCGCTGCAATATATGATGAAAGCATGTGAACATCAACCGATTGTGATTTGTCCTTTAATCATAAAAATTATTTTGATTTGCATAGACATGTATCTCATGTAATTTTTGCAATTTTTTCATACATTTTTGAGTGATTTTTTGTCTTGGATGTAGTCCTACATGACTAGGGGGTTGCTTTGTGCTGTTCTGTAAATATGAAGAGGGTTTGTGTTCATTGATGAATTTGAAGATCTTTCATGTATCCTATTTCTTATCTCATTATTTGTCTTTCTCAAAACTACCCTTGTAAAATCATTACATTCCCTTTTTTAATGCACTTCAGATTAATTTGTCATTTTAATTTGTCTTGAACATGGAGTTGAGATTTAGGGTGTGTTTGGAAAATGGGAATGGTAAAAAACAAAAGACTCTATACATTGCCAATGCATTTCCTATGTCTTTGTCAACTGTACTATATATGTTAGGAGCAATAATATCTCATGTTCTTGAAATTACAACTCGAGAAGTCCTTATCTTGAGAGTGGTAAACTTCCAAACTTCTGGCACAGCTAATGAAATTCAATAATAGAATTATGCTGGGATAATATGGAACTCTTGTCTGCAATTCAGAATACTTTCAACTTTTGAATGGAAACTTCCTATCAACTAGCTTGTAAGCTTAGAACAGTTGGTGATCAGACATAATACCCCATTTCTGAACACCTTTTTACAATGGGTCATTTTTCTGACAAGGGTGACACAGTCACCCTATAATAATTACTATTTGCCAAAGACTTCATAGGTTTTGAGGATTGAAAAGGTTAAGAGCGTCTAGGGTCTGTTTACTTTGAGAATAGGTTTTCTATTTTCATTTATTGTTTTATTTTTTTATTATAAAAATATTTCACCGGCCACATTATTTTTTGTTTTTCCACAGAATGATTTCCTGGTTAAAATAACACTCCTTAAATTTCACCATTGAAAAACTTTGGTAAAGTCTTTTAAAACTATAATTGTAGAAAATAAATAACCTAACCACCAGGGTAAGAAGTTCACATGAAACTTTAATAATCTCAGATAGATATGGTTGGCACCACTGAGATGTCTAGCTGTAAGTAACCTTTTATAATAGAAACAAGCATAAGGGTCCATTTACTGACTGAATTTTGCTAAGCATGTGCCATCAAAATTGGTCTCCACAGTCAATAATGAAATCAAAGATGCCACGGCAACTACCACCATCTCACTTACCTCAATAGGTATTAGTTCTATCTTTTGTTCTCTGTTTCATTTTATGAACTTACTTAGAATGCAATATTGTGATCCAATCATAGATTTTCATATAATTGATCTTTTCTAAAGTTAATTATAATTAGTTTATGGAAAACTACTCTTGAACAGTGGAATATGTAAGAACAAAATCCGTGCAAGCTGTTGGTAAAACTTAAAGGCTATTATTTATACCTTTTTCTTGAAGGATTCAAATGAATCTACATTAGACAGAGATGGTGTGATACACACTACTCTTGAAGCATAGAGTCAAAACATGTGTTCAATTCTTATGAGCTGTTGCAAACTCCATGATCTATGTTCCATTCCTGCATGAACTCTGGTCTTACAGAAAAACTAAAAGAAGAGACAAAACTAATGATGGCTCCTGGTTTGGTTTGCATTTTATTGAATGCAACTGTTTAGCCATCACCACAAGAAGTTAAAAAAAGGGTTATGGTTATGGGGAGATGAGAAATCTTCACATGGGTGACAAGGACTATTGTGTTAAGTTTCAAGTTGAGGATTCTGACAAACACTGAGAGAATAAATTCCTTCACCTATTATGAGATGATGAAGTGGTTACAATCACTGTCTTTAATGTCGGTTCCTGTCAACCGTTACAAAAGTAAAATCCATTCAATTTTCAGAAATTCTTCATCACAACTACTTTGTAATATGGGAACATCAATTAATATATTATTTTGTAAAATTTTAATACATGATGAAAATTAAACATTTTCACGAAAAAATTATTAAACTAAATATTTATAAATGATCAATAATTATTGACAGATAATCTGATAGACCAATAGTCGTGATGATAAATTTAATATTATATCATATAAAGACAAAATTAATTATTAATAATATATAGAACTAATATAACTTTAAAATTAGCATTGCATGTTGTTGCGAGGGACTATTTTAAGAATATTACTTGGTACGATCTTAATTAAAATTATAATTTTGTCATATTATATAGTATTTACCAAAATGACAACTTATTTTTGCATTTTGTTCTAAAAATAAAATAATAAAAAAATCACCTACGTGTAACGACCCTAGAAATCGTTACTATAATGATGTCTTCGCAAAGTAGTAAACAAGTAAATAACAATATCTATTTTACATTATATTACTATAATTGTAACATATATTGAAATTCCAATTCACTAACTGAACTTCAAAATATAGTAACATAATTTATTTATATATTATACATGTAATAGTAGCTCCTCGAAGTTATCCCATCTGAACTATCCCTGTCGTCCGAGTAATCACATCACCATCTCTCAACTCCCGATCCGCTCCCACATAAAAGTGATCATCGCAGTCCCATCCACATGGAAAAATAGGGGTAAGTATTAAATCATTCAATATAATAAAACAGATATAAAAGTAATAATTATATATTATGATCAATTACGAAATTATCAACACACTAAGACATCTTCCGAAGTATACCCTAACTATGCCCGAACTCGGAGGCTATCATCCGTGGGCACATTGTGATCGGTACCGCAGTACCATTCCGACCACCCTCCACACGAGTAGGATTACTGGCGCCCTTCATCACTCATACTCGGAGTACCCCTCCGAGCGCGCCACCAGTCATCCCCCATCGACTTCTCACCACCTGATCTCGTAGTCTACCTGACCCGACCAATCAGTGAAGTCTGAGACCTCATTCAGAATCCTCCGACATAGTTATTACACTAATGTACTCTGTACTACCCCGGGTACCATTCAAACATAACAAAAATTATTCACATTTGCCGGATTCTGGACCACCTGTCCTCACGGCTCATTCGAGTCAATAAAAATAGTATTTGACTGATTCTGGCACCAACCCTCCGGCTCAGTCTAGCCAATATATAACGTCTCAGGACTGATTCTGGGCACCAGCCCTCAGGCTCAGTCTGACCCACACACGTCACAACACACTACTTTCATTCTCTCTCTCTTTATATATATATTTTTCTAAAATAATTTCGAAATCATTTCCAAAACTATTTTCGAAATCATTTTCAAAATCATTAAATTACTATTTTGCCCTTAATCTTTTCTTAAAATGCCATGTATGTCCCTAAATGACTATTTTACCCTTTGACATTTTTGAAAATTCCTTCCATGTCCCAAAAATGACTATTTTGCCCTTGAACATTTTCAAAAATTACATTTATGTCCCTAGAATGTAAAATGACTATTTTACCCTTGAACAATTTCAAAAATTTCATTTATGTCCCTAGGATGTAAAATGACTATTTTGCCCTTGAACATTTTCAAAAATTACATTTATGTCCCTAGAATGTAAAATGACTATTTTACCCTTGATCTTTTAAAAAAATCCCACCATATCCCTTTCTTCTTCTTTCGCCCAGTAATAGTGTCAAAATTTACAGATTTTTGCAGATTTCAAATTACTCAGTTTTAGACAACCAAACTAGTCCCAAATCAAAATTAAACATGAATTATATCTAATTTAAGTTGAAAACAACAATTTTACCATATAATTCATCCTTAATTTCAAGAATTTAATCAATATTTAAAACTTTACAAAATATGAATAGTAATCACCTCCATTACGCCATTTTCAAAATCCAGGTTTCAAATTTCTCAGTTTCAATCACCCAAATTAGTTCCAAATAAAAATTAAACCATAAACATGTTCAATTTAAGTTAAAAATAACAATTTTATTATATAATGCATTCTTAATTTCAAGAATTTCAAAAACTTTCAAACGGTGAACAGTTCATCAAAATAAAAAATTCTTCAAAATCAGACATTCAAATAATTCATATCTTTACTCTTATTCCTTATTCACAAAGTACCCAGTAATTCAATTTCATATATTGAATGAATTAAACTTCCCCTTACCTGGTATGGTATTTCTACCGAAGTTTTCCCACTTAATTCAAGCTCTCTCCCGTTTCACCAGATCCTGCACGAGTAGAGTCTCGTTGCTTGAAATTTAGATAATAGAAGAAGAAGGATGAGAGGAAAATTTTGATTCTCCTCCCCCACTTCAGTATGCATATATAAGAAAAAATTTAGAGGAAAACTTCATTATGAAGTTTTCTTGCACAGATAATATTAATATAATATTAAAATAAGGCATACGTCACACTACGTGTTTGAATAATAATCTACGAGTGATAATGGTAGTATTATTTTATTTCAAACCAAATTGTACAAAAAGATATAAATCAATATTATTTTAATTATTTATTCAATTGAAATGTATTTTTATTTAAACAATACTATTTTTTGAAAATAATATTTACTACCAATATATATAAAATATGGTATTGAAATAATATTAAAAAAATATAAGTTAACAATGTGTAATATTCGATTAATATATATTATTATATTATTATTTTGGGTTATTAACGAATTATATATTACATAAGTATTATCATATTATTTGTTGAAAAAAATATAAAAGTATGATATTTTTTGTATTTTAAAGTTTAAAAAAAATTACATATAATATTTTTTTATTTATATAAAATATATTCTTTTTTAATCAAGGCGCTTATTTATAAAAAAGGGAGAAATTTGTATTAGGAATATATAGGAATACGAGTATTGAGAGAGTAAATAAAAGAAAATATTAACATATAAAAAAATAATTAAATATTTTTGTTTATAAGGTATTTATTGAGATTGTTTTAAATATTTATTTATATTTATTTAATATTAATTATTATTTTATTAATATAATATTATTTATCATTAATTAATCAAATATATTAATTATTGTTTTTATTATAAAATAGTTGTAAATAAAATAACAAATGATTAAATTGATCGTTCGAATTTAGTTGACTTTGACTACAAGCAAGTAGATCGACAACTCGACTTTAATAATGAATAACTTAGACTATTTACTATGATAAAAAACTCGTGTAAGTAATATAAATTATGATTATTTTAAAAAATGAGAATGAGATTTACTTAATAAGACAATATAATGTAAGTCATTTACAAGAAAATGTTGTTTTATTAAAATAATAAATGATCTAAAATAGGTGAAAATGGTATAATTTATCTTTATCCAGTATTAATTTTTAAATAATATGTTACCTTATTAATATTTGTTAGAGAGTCAGGGAGAATATTCCACGTATTGAATCTAAAAAAATATATAAGTCTCCTAAGTTAAAAATCTAATTACAATAAAAATGTATAAACTATGAAATCAATCCTCCTTAATTTTACCTAGTTAATTTTTCCCAAATTTATTTTTCTCGAACTCATTCATTTCAAGTTTGTATTTTCAATTCTCAAACTAAGCTTTGAAAGGAGAAAAATTAAATATTTATAATTATATTTATATATATATAATTCAATATAAAATAATTTTACTTAACTGTCCAATAAAAAGTCTTTAAAGTTTTAAATTAATTATATCTTAAATAAAAATTATATTAATTATAAAATTAAAATTAAGAAAAATATTTTTATTGAAATATTTTTTAAATTAATTAATTTAGTATATATATTAATATTTTTTTTAAATTCAATTAAATCAAAATTGATTTGTTATTTTGTTAGTTTAGTATAAAGATAGGTTAAACTATTTTTTTATTTTAAAATATAAATATGAATTATCAAATACTTTTATTTGATTTCGGTTTGGATAGTTCTAGATAGATTAATACTAAATGTTCACTAATTTTAAACAATAATTAATTTTATCAATTATTAGTATATTAAATCAAATAAATTCCAAGTATATATGGCGATTAGGTTGGATAACCTAGAGATTCACATAAACCGTACTTAATGGAAACGAAATCTTTAATTTAAATAAAATATTATCATTTTTTTATTCAAAATAAATAATTACACGGGAATCGAAGAAGTTGGACCATGATATGCTGAGTTGGTGGATGATTTTTTTATCAACATCATTTATTGGTATTTAAAATTTCACTAATAATAAATAAAATATGATCAACTATATTTTCCTTTTTAAATTAAACTTGTATGATTGTATTTTATTTAGATGAATTATATAAATAAGATTGATTTTAATTCATTTTCTTCTATAATTACTTTTGGTTGATGAGTAATTAACAATTTAAACACGTAGTTTATTCATCATAATTTATAATAATGTTTTTAAAACTGAATTTAATATCTAATTAAATTTAATAAAATAATATTTTTATAATTTAATAAATATATAATAAATATATTTAAAAAGTAATAATTATTATTATTTATCATACTAATAAATAAAAATTATAAATATAAAATATAATCAAAATATAAGAAATAATTGTTAAAATAAAATAAAAATAGAATATAATAATTATTATTTAAAATTAATTATTATATTTTTTTATAAATTATATTAAAAAATTAACTTTATTTTTTGGTATCGGTGGAATAAAAAATTTAATTGATTTAATTGATTAGATTGATTCGATTTTTCTAATTTTATCTTGATTTAATTAAATTTAATTATTTAAAAGTAATAAAACGATTTTTATACTAATTCTTAATTAAATCAGTTAAACTGAACGTAACTTATTTTTAAAACAATAAATTATATTTATGAAATTAAAAATATTTATAATAATTCATTGATTTATATGAAAATAATTTAGTTTTTACTTGGACTTATTATATTATAATTTTTTAATTTAATCTCTAGAATAATATGTAAATGATAGAGAAATTGGTAAAAGAAAAAGTGAATATAATAATAACACACAACAATCCATGTTACTCATTTTCCTACTTACCAAATTCTTAAATTCAGCTACCACCTTCTCTCTCTTCCACCATTATTATTCATTTTCTTTCTTTAAATCGCTAAATTCACCCACATCACTAAACCTTAAAAGTCTCCATTTTTTAATGTTCCCTTCACATTATCTCATCACAACAAAAAAAAAATGTTCAATTTCTGTCGTATATCTTTCTAGGTTTCAAGTTATTCTGAAAAGAAGTTAAAACTTATGTTACTAACAGAATATATAAATTAATTAAAAAATATTTAAAAATATTAGGCTTTTAAGAAAAAAGTTAACCGCATTGCTGAATTTAATAAAAAAATATACAAATAATATAATTATATAAAAATTTATGACCTAATTTCAATATAAAATCTCCTGTAAACCGGTTTTGTTAAAAACGTTTCTCAGCAAATAATAATATTATTATTAATATTCTAACATAAAATCAATGAAATATCAAGTATTTAAATTATATAATATAAAACTAGCACGTTGGACTTCTAATATTTTTTTTGTTTGTGGTGGTCGAATGAGAATATGATTTATATGAAGATCCTAGATTTTTAATTATTTTTAGTTATATATTATTTAAGTTTATTATTTTTATCATATTAAACTTTTTATAAAATAATTCAAATTAATTTAATTATTTTGATTATATTGAAAAATAATTTTATATGTTAAAAAAGAATTAGTATTTATCTAATCATTCTAAATAATATTTATATTCTTTATTTTATCAATTATCGAAATAAAGTTAATTGATGTTTATTTTTTAATATGGTCTATTCCATCTAGATAAGATTATAACGAACGATAATTTTAAAATAGAAATATTTCGAATGAGTAAATTAATCATAATGATATTATCACATTGGATATGAAATTCGAACATTTTTTTTAAGAAACATACGTTCATTAATTAATCACATCAAATAATAATTTATATATATATATTTTTTTCTTTTAATTTTGGATATAAAAATTGATCATAATAATATTATTATAATAAAATAAGACTATTATTTATACAAGAAAATTTCACTATTATTTCTCTTTAGAAAATATTAATAACATAAATAATATCTTAATTTGTTTGTTTCCTATCATCTAATTCATTACATTGAGTCAATGACTTTATATGAATTAGTAGTTTTAATTTAGATAAATAAAAAAGCACAAAATTTTATAAATGTATGTTCTCAATATGGATATAAGGATATTTTTTTTTTTAATTATGACTTTAAGAATGGAATTATTCTTTGCGGCTTTGAGGTTTGACCAACATTAAGGCAATGTAAAACTAAAGTGATTTACAAAATAATGAAGTTAGTCCAATGCTTTTTTAAAGGAAAAACTACATTGACATGCCTTAAACTCATTTAATTATACTTGATACACTTTTCCCTTTTGACCTTCCATAATTTCCTTCAATTAACAACAAAAATTTCATTATTTTACTCAAACAAAAATATATTTTTTTTTAATATTTTTGAGCATAACCAAATTGTTTGAAAAATGTAAGGTATGGCCACCAACTAGGAACCCCACTGGAGGGACAACATGGAGTATCAGTAATCGTTAGAATACAATGAGTGCATTGGCTACGACTGATGTTAACATCATCTGCAATGTTGTCACTAGTGTTCCCTAATTAACACAATTTTTTGTGATAAATGTTGAATCCAAAAATTAAGTGTGACTAAAAGAACAATATAAACGAAAAAAAACTAAATAAAATGCATAAACAATGCAAGTAATCAATAAAAAAGTATTTATAGGATTTAATATCAATACATATAATATTTATTGTAAGTTTTTTTTTTTAAATCTTTTACTTATAAAAATTACTTTTAATTAGAAATATATTAACTAATGAAATAAAAATAAATAAAGAGAAGAAATTTAATACTTTAAAAATAAATAAAAACTATAAGTTAATTAATAACAAGTTAAATGTTTTTTACCAATAATCTTAAAATTTAACCTACTATTAAATTCGACTGAATTTAATAAAATAATATTTTTAAAATATATAAATTTATTATTAATAATATTTTTTTATAAAAATTAATAAAAGTTATTCTTATAATTATTATAAATTATAATCTATAAATTATAATAAAGATTATAAATATAAAATATATTATTAAATATAAAATACATAATTATTAAAATAAAATAATTATTATTTAAAGTTAATATAATTAAATGAATAAAATAATCTAAAATTTATTATATTTTTTTATAAAAATTTATATTAAAAAAGTAAATTATAAATTGTTTATTTATTTTATCAATTTTATTTCAATTTATTTAATTTTATTTTAATATAATTAAAATTTAATTATTTAAAAATAAAGGATTATTAGACCCATTTTTAAAACAATGTTTTTATTTACCAATGTAACAAAATGATGAATTAAATTTCTTAAATTTTTGAATTGATTGGGAGAATCTTGTCTTGTATAGGTTGAATAAAAAAGGTTTAAAGAAAGAAATGTACTTAGTAAGAAAACATTAGGAATTACAATATTCAATGCTGTGTAGTGGACCCACTCCCTCATTATTACACCTCTTCAACCCTAATCCACAAAGCAAGCCAATTAATATTTCTGAACAAAAAATAAAAGCAAATAATAATAATTATTTAAAAAATGATGTCAAATTCTGTCTCTCCCTCTCTCCTCTTCTGCAACAAACCAACTCTCTCACTCTTCCCTTCACCCTTTACAAAACTTTTTAAACTTTTACAAACTCACTCTTTCACAAACAATCCCTGAGAGGAATATAAAAATTAAAACAAAATCAAAATAGAAAGACAGAGCAAGGTTTTCTTCTCCTTCTGCAAAAAATCCATTAACCCCTTCTTCCCCTTTTCCTCTTTTTCTGCCGGTGTTCCGAAGTCTCAACTTCGATCTTCTCCTTAAATGGCTCGTACCCTCTTGTTTTAGGGTTCCCACGGTTTCTGGGTCACCATCAAGTTCGTTCCTTTCAGCGGTTTTCGCCCCATTCTACAGTTCTAGGTCTTGAACCTGTTAAAGGGTCGAGGTTGATAGCGCTAGAGTTCAAGTGGGGCGTGGAAAAGGGAAAGGGGTCGCATTGTGTTTGTCAAAAAGAGAGGGTTTTTATCTTCTTATTCGACTGTGTATTACTTTGTGTGTTTTTATGTTTGTGTGGGGCTTCCGTGAACAGTGGTTGCTTTTTGGGAAGCTTATTTCAGAAGCTTATTTCAGAAGCAATTTACCCCCCTTTTGAACGTGATTGTATTTAGTGCTCTCATGGACTCACACAATGTTCTCTTTTGATCCTATCAATAGTGGGGTTTTGTGTTTTTTTTTTCCTCTTTCCCTTTTTGGATGAGGAGCCATTGGACTTGTGAAACCCATGAATTTGGTGGATTTATGTAGGGAGTTGGAGTAGCAGGCCTTATTTATTTTATTTATTTGATTTTTTGTAGATCAAGTTGGTGGGTTGTTTATGGATGGCATTGATGATTTAGGGTCAAAATGGTTTGGATATATGAGGCATTGGATCGATGGTGATGGGAATAAATAGCATTAGGAATTTGTTATTTTGTTTGGATTGAAGAGATGAGGTATCAGTTGTAGTCATAGGAGTAAGGTTTCACCAAGATTCTGGGGAATTTGAGAGGCTTTGGTGATGGAGGATATAGGCTTGTTCAAGCAGTGTTGGCAATGGTTTCGGTTGCAGAAGGACGCTGGCTGGCGTGCTCGAACCGTTGTGACTTGTTGCCGGGACAGGATTGCTATGTTCATTGACCGGCATTGGCCTATGGTGTGCCGGGGTTGCTCCAGATTTGGGAGCTTACTGAGGTTGTCATTGATTTTCTGGAAGGACTCTGCTGTGAGGGGCTTTCAGTCCTTCATTAGGTTTGGTCCAGTGATGCTTCTGCTTATAATGTGGAGCTGCTTTCTTAGTCTGACTTCGATGTATTGTTTGGTATACGTGCTTGTTAGTATGGTATGTCTTTTTTTCAACATGTCTTAATAAATCTTCATTCTTTCAGTTCTGGGTTTCTGATCTGTCTGTCTAAGGCTGTTATCCAGGTATTTATTTTTGGGGCAAACTACACTAACATCGAGGTTTAATGAAATTACACCTGAAACCCCTTTCTTTTACATTACTTTCATCTCCCTCAATCTATGTAACTGCATAAGAAGTTAAGGGAAGTTCTGTGTCAATAGGAAAAATATATGGGGTTATGTTGTTTAAAAAAATTTAGGGAGGCCTGTGTAGGGTCAAAAAAGGGAGAATATAAAGTGAAATTTTGGTAAACCTTAGTGGGTGTAAATATAATTTGCCCTTATTTCTCCTTTTGCTGTTCTTTGTGTAATACTTCAGTTGGATAGCAGTTTTAGAGTAGTGGGGTTTAGCTTATCATTTAGTGGTATGATTGTATGCTTTACAATTGCCTTATTGGTCATATACTAAAATATAGCTTGGTACAAGGAGGTTGCTATTGTATTTTTAATAATCATTCTAAAGGTGTTGGATTTCTCTATTAGAATTGTATGATAGAATTAAGTTTCAGGCTTTAAGGAATGATGTTATTTTTATTAAAACAAGACTCAATTTGGGAGAGTAACAAAGAATGTGGATGTGACAGTTAGTATTGTCTTAGCAAAGTGAATTGCAGGTGGTTATCTGGATGTTAATGTCAAATAATTCAGAATTATTTGGGTGCATGATTTTAATTTCTTTGTAGGGGAAAATGACATTTTTTTTTATGTTTTTTCCCCTGAAGTTGAAAAGATCATGATAGATTTTTTTAGAATGAAGCACTTACTACTTAGTCTATCTTACAATAACGTGTTGATGGCATTGCTTTTTGCTAATGTTGAGTCTTTTAGAGAACTTGCATATAATGACAGAAATAGAAACATTATTATGCTGAAAAGGGGTTTTACATTTTCCTGAGCTAAACATGTTAATCAATCATTGTGTCCAACTAATATCCTATGTCAAATTTACTAACTCTTTTTTACCTTTATTTGAATTCATTTGCAAGCACATTTATTTATACACAAAGCTGCCTTTTCATAGTGTGTATGTAAATTGCATTATTCAGTCTCTGAGTTCGGTTAGCATCTTGACATTGGTTTGCCACCTTTATGTATTTGGTTGCTTCAGTTAAATTTAGAAACAAATAATTTTACTGAGAAAATTGTATACATTGCTTCTCATAGTTCAATTGAATGCTTCAGGGTATTGCTGGAGTTGCTGTCCAATACTTGGGGTATACTCCTGGGCTTTTTATTGTCGGCCTTTTTGCCATCCTTATTTTGTGGATGTATGCTAACTTTTGGATAACTGGAACATTACTTATAGTAGGAGGTATGATATTCTTCTTTCTTTTTGCATTACACTATATAGTCTCCTAAGGACCAGAATAAAAGAGGAACGCACATCTTTGTAATGTATAATACACTATTATTAATCTGTTCATACTTAAGGAAATATCTTTAAATTGTGTTTATGATCCCTCTCTATTCAAAAGGCTTGACTCATTTATCGTCTGCTTGACTGAGAACTATGTTGTTGGCTATTATTGACATGAAACTGAGTTCATTTGACATTCTTTAAGGGCTATGTAGGACTTCTATTCTTGTTGGCTTAATTGAATATTTTGCCTTTGTTAATCCTGAAATTTGTTTCCAATTATACACTTGCAGGTTATTTATTCTCCCTAAATCATGCACGTTTGGTGGTATTAGTCGGAACTATATATGCTATATATTGTGTTCAAGTACGAGTTGGATGGCTGGGTGTTTTTCTTGCCCTAAACCTTGCATTCCTCTCTAATGATGTTTTGAATTTTCTGCTCCAATGGTTTGATAATGTGAGTGAAAGTTCACATTCTGAAGAGCAGAAGCAATCGGAACCAGTTGTAGAAGATGATTTCTCTGAAGAGTGTGAATATCCTATCCCTACTGATGAATCTGAGAATTTGCAGTCATGTAAATCTTCCAGTAAACCTGCTGTTACCACAGCAGTTGTTGATAACAAGAAAGAACTTTCTGTTAACAAAGTTGTCACAGAACAAGCAACAACAAACTCAATTGATGAAATGAAAAGGATATTGAAGAGTCTGAATCATTATGATGCCCTTGGATTTAGCCGCCACAAGAAGATTGATGCAGCAGTTTTGAAAAAGGAATACAGGAAAAAGGTATTATTTTAGTTTTATTTTGCTATGTCTATTTTATTTTTACTTAAATGTTATAGGAATATTTATTTAGGCTGCTGTTATGTGTTGAAGCAGTATTGTGTTACAATGTATGAGGAATAACATTTGGACTTAAATTATAGTGTTTGCTTGCCTACGTAAAGAGTGCTTGGTTTGTTTTCTGTTTGCATTCATTTCATTTGTTAATTACTAATAGTGTTGCCATGTCTTCATTTTGCTTTCTGTTTTCACCATTTACTTCTCAAAATCTTGAGATCAGAAACAAAATGATGAGGGTTAAAATATCATTTGTAAAAGAAAGGTAAAAAAGACTCTTTTATCGTGATCATCTGATGTTTATGCGGAATATTCCCATTTTTTTCTTTGATCATGTAGGCTATGCTGGTGCATCCTGATAAAAATATGGGCAGTCCTTTGGCAAGTGAGTCATTTAAGAAGCTTCAATGTGCATATGAGGTAAAGTTTGAAGTATAAGCTGCTGAGCCTCTCTGATATTTGGCAGATAAACATTTAATGCTTATTTGATGCATGATGTGTAAAACATATGTAATTTTCACTCGTGTTGGTTCCTCCCATTAATTAGTTATATGAAACTTCCAGGTTCTTTCAGACTCTGTGAAGAAACGAGATTATGATGAGAAATTAAGAAAAGAAGAATCCATGGCTAAAAGTGTCTGCCAGAGATCTCATAGTAGTTCACATCAGGTAAATATGATGATATTCTTGTAAATGACTGACATATCTTCTCAGGTTCTGTTTATGTATGTATATGTAGTCCACACATTTTATAAATTGTTGTTTTTATGTTTTTAAATAAAAAATCTGACAAGAGTTTCCACCTTCTCAGATTTACTACCTTGTAGACTGAAATTAATGTTTTGTATTCTTTTGATAAAAGGACAGTTGTTTTGACCAGAAACTGGTGATCAGGTCCAATGTCTGGTTTAAATAAACTCGAGAACTGGCCTTAAATTTTTTTTTTTTCAGTGGGTTAGTGAAAAAGTACTTAATATGATGTTTTAACCATTGAATTTTATATCAGTGCCTTGACCAGTTCAATAACTGGCCTGGTTTTAAAAACGGCTATTTTTCACATATCTTAGAATTCAAATTTATACCCCTACTATAAATCATTATATTATGACAGTAGTTTCTCTTAATCACTATTTTTTTTAAAAGTTAAAAATTATGGTTTCTTCTCTCTGCTGTCAATTTTTCAAATATTAGAGTCCACTCAAGGACTGTAACTGATTTTGTGATATAAAATAGGAAAGAATGGAGACATATTAAATGAGATATACACCAATGCAGTGAGTGGATTTGTCTGATATCAAAATCACCTCTATCTCATAATATGACATGATTTCCAAATGATATTAATATATTTTTGTGTACGGACCAGTTTGCTCAATTATTTGGCTGATTGATGATCCTTATTATAAAAATAGTGATGATACATGTAATGTGTTCTCCTTAGGATAATGCTGATTATCGATCCGAAGAGTCCAGACGAATACAGTGCACCAAGTGTGGGAATTCACATATTTGGGTATGTACCAACAGGACTAAGGCCAAAGCAAGATGGTGTCAGGTCTGATTCTTTCCTTATTTATAATTAAATGTTTTCCTATTTCTCTCTATTGTATTCTTATTTTCTCTTCTGAATTTTGCCTCTGGAAACAGGACTGCTGTCAGTTTCATCAAGCCAAGGATGGAGATGGATGGGTTGAATATAAAGGGTCTTTGGTATTTGACAGGCCTCAAAAGGTAGATATGCTCATGGCAAATCATTTTGCTAAATTAATTTTACATTGTTTGCATTTAGTTTCTGAGCTATGATATTGTTTTCATAGGTGGAGATTCCACGAGCTTTTGTTTGTGCTGAAAGCAAAATTTTTGATGTGTCAGAATGGGCTATATGTCAGGTCAGTGTACATTTCAAATAGCATTCTTTTTATTATTTACCTGATGTAATGGTTAATCTGAAGTTTCAAAAATAGAGGAGCAAAACTCAGAACATCATGGAAATAAAAAGGTGAAACATGCAAATATTATAGGCTTTCATGTTAAGAATGATATTGAGGAGTGAGAATGGTTCAATTCTTTGATGTATTCCAACTGATTGGGATTGCACAGCATTTTTTGTTATCGGTGAAGGTGAATGTTTCTAAATTACAGAATTCCTGATCATCTTGCTTATTTGGAGTTTTTGACAATGAAGGTTGATTGGGTTCCTTGTTTTGTTATTTTGGTCTCTTATGAAAGGCAGTGGCTATCTGTGGTCCCTTTACTGAACTTGAGGCAATAACAACTTTTCTGTGTTGAAAATAATGATATTTTACTCCTCTTTATCTACCTGACAGCTGTATTTCTTGCAGGGAATGGCTTGCAGGCCAAATACCCATCGACCGAGTTTCCATGTCAACATGGTTGGCTTGGAGAAAAGCCAGCGGTGCAACTCGAGTCGTTTCCCGTGGGATTTTGACGCCGAAATGATGGATGAAGATGAAGAGGCCTTTGACCTGTGGCTTGAGCAGGCCCTGGCATCCGGTCTCTTCTGTGAGACCTCCAAGCGCAGGAAGAGTTGGAGTCCATTCAAGTTGCATCAAAAGAAAGGGAAGAAGCAATGGCGAAGAACGTCATGTTAAGGCAGAAGTCTGCAGGGAGAGTTCATAGTTCATTGCATGTCCCTAAGGGATTGAAGGAGTAAACATTTAGTGATGCATTGGTGAGATCAAACACAACAAGAAGGATTGGCTAGCAACACTCAAAAGGGTACCTTGTTAATGAGAACCAAGGTTGGCAAAGTTACTTAACCTCATTCCACATATTATGTAGTGTAAGGTATCAGAAGTGCAAAACATCCTTGGTTTCTAGGCGTTTTCCTCATTGCTCATTTGCTCCTTCAGGTTTACACAATCCTTGTTCACATGGATCTGTGTCTGTGTATCCTTGTTTACATTTTAAGGTGCTCTTTTTGAGGGTTGCCAAGGACTAATACACTTTGGTCCTTTGTACATACAGCTAATAAAAATTTATCATTTGGTAAAATACCTTTATCATCAGCATTCATTTTAGAGTTGTGTAAACTTCATTTTAAAAAAATATCAGGGTACTCTTTGTACTATTGGATGCCATTTATCCTACAAAAATCTTAATCCAGTTGGAGCTAATAGAAGAGAAGAGAACTCTGATGCTTACATAAACCACAAACTAATGGTGGCTTGTTCCATGATGCTTTTTGTTTTTCATTTTTTGATTCAAATTCATATAATATGGAGTATAAGATGTTTTGGTTTGGTATTTGGCATTAGAAACTTGATTATTATTTGTATTGTGGGAATAATGAAGTGATTTAACATTTTCTTATGTAGAAGAAACCCACCTAAAATGTTTTAATTAATTCGTATTAATGAAACAATTAAATTCCATTCAGATTTCTTAAAGACATGTTAGGAAACAATTAATTTCAAGATGTTTTTCATAAAATCTAACTCATTTGACATTGAATGACTAGATTATCCAAACATGCATAAATTTTAGTGAATTATAGATAGAACTCACATGGCATGAGTCCCACTCATTCTTCTTAACACTGCAACTCTGCAATCTTGTCTACAGTCCAACGATTAATTTTGTAAGAAAGAGAATGCAAGTAATATGATATCATGCATTATGGAGACAGAGTTGATCATGAATTTATAAGAAAAATGACAGTCAATATTTAAAAAGCTAGTCTTTTTTTTTTTAAGTAAATTCACATTTTATTGTGACTAAAATGCCTGGGTCGTTCTGAACATCTCTCGTATTCTTTTAATACCTACATTTGCATATACTTACAAGTAATTTTAATTATTACTTTCTTTTTCAATTTAAATATTTATCAATTTGTTGATTTTTTAAAAATTAATGTTTATTTTTTATGAGCACAATTTTTTTATCTAAATAATTTGAAGCTGAAAAATATGTTGATTTGACCACTTAAATAATAATAATAATAATAATTAATAATAAAATTATTAGAAAATAATAATTACATGTGTTTTTTAATGCAAGATGATTTAATATAATTCTTTTTACACTATAAAAGTTAAATCATAAGAATTTCTTTAAACTCTTGTTGCCAAATACTTTTATATATATATATGAATTTAATGTTAGTAAAGTTTAATTATGTTATCTTGAATTCAATAACATAATAGAGAATGTTTTTGATGACGGGATAAGTTAATGAATTTAGCTGTTAACTCATTTTAATCCGTCAACTCGACAAGTCAACAACAGATGAGATGACTAATCTGTTATGCCTTAAAAATATATTTATATTTTAAAATAAAAATAAAAATATATTAATTAAAAGTATTATATATTTTTTAATGTTATTGAAACATGTAAATATATTATAATATTATAATTTAAATTAACAAAATCTTGGTTATTCCAATAATTTTTATTTAATATATATAAAATATATTACTTGGATGGGTAAGTTAAACATAGAATAATGGACTAATATCTTATTAAACCAAAAGTAGAAATAATATTTTTCCCTACCATTCTGATTTATAAGATGTTACAGTTTTCCCATGTGTTTATATAGTTGTGTTGGAATCAAACATGGAAAATAAAATTTTAACTAATTATATTTTATTGTTCTATATTGATTTGGATTCTTTAAAAAAAAACTCAAAATTCAAATTAAATAGATTTAATATATATATATATATATATATATATATATATATATATATATTCTAAAGAATCATATATAATTTCATTATTAAAAGAGATAAACAATATATTTATATTATAAATAACTTACATAAATTAAATAATAATGAAATTATAATATGTATTATATCATAAATATTTATATATAATAAATAATAAAAAATACATTAATTATTTGATTATAATTCATTAGATCTATAAATCACAAATTTAATTTTTCAATTAATCAGGTTAAATTTAATTTCGACAAGGTTGAATGTTACTAATGAAAACAATATTCATATTAACTATTTCATGTTATTAATTAGATTAATCTAAATGGTTAAGCACACGAGTTTATATTATTGCATGCGAGAAATGTTTGTAATAGTTTAATAAATTATATTTTTTCTAATTTTAAAATAAAAATATATTTTTCTTTTTTTAATAAAATAATACTCACACTCCTTATAATTTTTAAATAAATATTATACTCATATTTCAATATTTTTAGTAAAGTACATTTTTTTTACTAAATATAATTTTTAAAATTTTCATGTATAATTATTTTATTTAAATTTTGGAGAATAATATATTTTAAAATAAAATAAGAAAAATAGATACAATTTTATTAGAATTACAAGAAAAAACAAGTTTTGAAATATATAATAGGACCTAACAACATTCAGGTCTATGGATCAAACTGTGTGCACTGCATGTTGCGTAATCAATTTAATCAAAATTATTCTTTAATCTCAAAAACAGAACAAGATCATCGAATGTTGACAAAGTTGCATGCGTAGCAAAATAAAAATAACAACAATAATGGAACAAAAAAAAAAAAAGATGAGACCAAGCAAATAAAAGAAGGCAAAAAATAATTGAATGTAAAAGAGAGAGCATGGATCTGAGACGGAGACAATAACCATAGAGAGGAGAGAGAGTTGGAGAGTTAGATAGAGAGAGAGAGAAAGCAGAGACACCGGTCGGTGCTCCGCTGAACACGGTTGTTGTGGCCCCTGCGCTCCGGTGAGTGACTACTTCGATCTTCTTCTTTCCATTTCCTTCAACTTGATCTTCATAATAATATTCATATTCAACCACTTTTTCACTTCATAGCTGCTCCATTTGGTCGGTCCACCTCATTATCAATTTTTGTTTTTAAAATTTTTAATCTTTTTCGCTTTTGCTGAATACCCATTTGAATTTGGTGCTTTACTGCAATGATTTAGACCCCTGATACTGTTCAGGGATATGCATACTTTTGAATTTTTTGTTGGGTTGAGGAGTTGTTGAACTTCAAAAATCATATGTTGGATTCTCTGAGAATAGACCTGAATAGAGTGTAAATAGTTTTTAATAGAATAGTTATTAGATTAGGGGATAGTTGTCTGATTTTGTATTTACTGTATGGGAATCATTGACCATTAGGAATTGACTGTGTATATAGTAGTTTAGGAATTTCCTTTATTAGACCTTGTTTTAAGAGCTATTGGTCTTCTCATCTAAAATATCAGGAAAAAGTTTTCTGGCTGTTTATTTAATGCTCAGATGTGTTACTTTGCACAAAAAGCTTGTGACTTGCTTCATTTGATGGGTTGGTTGGTGTTTGATTGCAAGTTTGCAAATGGATTTTGCTACCTTGTATTGATATAATGGTCTTCCACTGTTGTGCCAGTGTGGCTCCACCTAAATAGTTTGACATGTTGGAAGATCACATAATGCTCTTTTTGAACGGTTGCGAAGTAGTTGCAGTAGATCAGTTATAAGCTAGACAGCCTTACTTCGAGGAAGCATTGTTCACTGAAAAGTCAGTCCTCTACTTTTGATTATGATCATAGGAATTGGAGAAGTAAAACTAGGTAATATAAAATTATAAGAAACTTGTGTAGTATCATTAGGGTATCACTTGCTAAAGATTGGGTTGTGTTTTCCTTGTAAACTTTTATTGTCGTTTTTTCTTTTTAAATCACATGATTACATTTGAATGACGATGATGACATGTTATCCTAAGCATTTATTACCGGTTGATCTTCTTAGTTGTTAGCAGCTTTCATTTTGTTGACTAGGTAGGTTTAATAAAGTTTCCAGCCAATATTTCCTCTGTCCCACTTGTGTCTTGTGAACAATTTTTTTACTTTAGCTGAAGGGTTTGAAGACTGAACTGATTTACTGAATTTCGGTACTATAACTTATGTCTCTGGAAACATTCCCTTCTTGAATAAACAATTTGTTTTCAATGCTAGAGTCTAGTGTCTTCTTCATTCTGAATCTGAAGAGCTTTATGAATCATAAGTGTTAATAAAGCCTGAAATTATTCACAATTGTAATATTTTGTGCAGCTGAATTTTTTGTTAACAAGTCCTATTATTGTCACTGCAGTTTTACACTCAAAAGGACCTCATGTCTAACATAGACGATAACAAAGATCTTGGACAGATGGATGTGGATGCATCTGAAGAGTCAGCTAACACCATGCCATCATCCCAGAAGCAGGTAGCATTCAGATCTTGCCTTTTTGCATTCTTAAATGAAAAAAATTACACTTCAGATTGGTAAATCTCTTACTGAGGGTGAGCCTTGACACAGTGGTAACTTTGTAAGGATTTCTTATTTTGTTACTTTTGATTTCTGAACCTTGTAGGAGGAAGCTGTAAAGAAAAAATATGGAGGAATGCTGCCTAAAAAGCCGCCACTCATATCTAAGGTGTGTGCATGCGGATGTTTCTGTGTGTCAAATTTGTCTGTCACTTACATTATGAAATTGAGATGCTCATGCCTACGAGTATTTGGTGATGAGTGCTCATTTGATTTTTCATTTAAAACTCAACTTTGTACTAGGACCATGAGCGTGCTTACTTTGATTCTGCGGATTGGGCTCTTGGAAAGGTATTTCTGGAAACCACACCTCTATAATAGTTGTGATTATTGATTTTTTTTTTTTCACTTTTCTTACACTCTCCTTTGCCCTTGTATGAAACAGCAAGGTGGTGAGAAGCCTAAGGGACCACTTGAGGCTCTTCGGCCTAAGTTACAGGTACTTTACCAATTTTATGCTACCTGATTTAAATATGGTGACACTGCTTTTATGGCTTGATTGTAGTTGTTCTTCTGATGTGTGAATGGTTTGTTGCCTGATGGTCTTACTCTGCTTATCATTTGGATTTGTAGTACAAAGAGAGAAAATAACAATTGTTAGATTAGCTATGGTAACATGTATAGATATAACTGTGTGATTTTTTTTTTAGTGTTATGATTGTAACAATTTTTCACATATCTATTAGCAAATTGGTTGGTAAAAATGATTGCAGATTTAGTTTAAATTGATGCAGAATAATGGTGATGCTATGCATTTTAGACAATTAAATTCTGATTCTGCCATTTAGTTGTGATTCTGAGATTTGGACCTGCACTTGCTTTACAACAGCTTTGGTAACGTTAACTGGATAATAAGTTTAAGATTACAAAATCTATTGGATGATGCCTTAGGTCTTGTTCAGATAAACTTTTTCATTAATATAGTGTACAAAATGAATTGAGCTTCTAATTTAACTTAAAATTAACTTATACACTTTACTTTTATTGGAACAATTTAGTTTAATTTCCTCATAATCTATAAGTTGATTTTAGTTTATGCAAATTCTCAATGTATTTACCACCTTTTCTTTTCACATAAGTTCTTACATATAAGTTTATTCAAACACGATGTTAGTCACTGACTTTCTAACTATCATAAAGGGTGCTGCTCCATAACTTCCCTTCTTTACCACTCCCTTTCTCTACCAGTTGTTGAAAGTAAAAAGCATCAAGTTTCTCAGTTTATAATTTCATGGTCACTCCCATGCCTAGGAAATATTGTACTAGCCCTTGGCAACCATGAGAAAAAAAAAAAAACTAATGCATGATTCAACTACATGTACTGATGAAAAATCCCCCTTGAGATGAGGGGGTGTGATGAAACTAAAGATACGATAGCATTATACTATGTTAAGGTTCCAACATAAAACCAATTGACTATATGTGGAGTAGCCTAACATGTATTTAAACCATACCAAATGACATGAGGTAGGCGATGTGGGACTTTCAACACACCCCCTCCAACGAAGCCTGCCGGACCAGGCAAAGGGTACTTTTGACCCAACTAAAGGGCAACTTTTGGCCCATGACAATAACCCGGAAAAATGTTAGGCTTTGGCTCTGATACCATGTTAAGGTTCCAACATAAAACCAATTGGCTATATGTGGAGTAGCCTAACATGTATTTAAACCATACCAAATGACATGAGGTAGGCGATGTGGGACTTTCAACATACTATATAGGTGAATACAATCCTCACCATATTGAACCAGTTTTATAGGATTGAATTAGGTATTTCACAATTTCTAATATGTACCTGCTTTTTCAATCTAACGTGACAAATATCTTCTTGTGACCTCTGCTTTTTAGCCGACGCAGCAGCAAACACGTTACCGTAAATCTCCTTATGCTCCTTCAGGAGAAGGTATGTTGTATTTTGATACCTTGCTTTGTTCAGTTAAGATGGCTAAACTTACATTCCCTTCTCCTTGTGTTTCTCTGCATCATGAAAATGAAATAACTAAATTGTGATGTTTTGTCCTTTTCAAAGAAGGGGGAAGTGTTACAGCCGAGGATGCACCTTCAAGCGAGTAAGCAGTAAACAGCAATCAGTCTTTTGATGATGTGCTGACTATTGTTCTAATACCTGAGTGAGTAGTAGGCATCACTTTTTGTTGTTTTCAACAATAAAGGAAGTTTATCATGTATTCATATTAGCACAAGACAAATTATTTGACATGCATTTACTCAATAGACATTTACTTGGGATTACCATTTTGTGTAATGCTCTCTCCCCTCCTACTTCCTCTCTTCATCTGATTTTTTAAGATAATATAAAGAGTGAAAGATTTAATGTAAACTTGGTTGTTACTTGACACTATTTTTGGTTTTAATCGCTACATGAAAAACAAGTGACACATGTTTTGTTGCAGTTTAGAGGCTCTGCCAATTTACATCTCCAAAAAAATCTCCTGGAACTTTGCATTGAGCTACAACAATTTTAATTTTAATACTGATGGAGTCCCATCTTGCCTGTCTCATATGATATAATTTAAATATGTTACGTTATTCCACGTATTGTTAATTAATTTTATGTTGGAACCTTAAGATGATATTATAGCCAAAGTTTAACTTCTTATCAATTATTGTCTTTGGTCAAAAAATTACCCTTAGAAATACTCTTTTCATGTTGGTTTTATGTTAGAACTTTAACAAATACAAATTACATCATCATGACTCTATTTATAAACCGATTTATGATCATGACTCTTCATTTATTGAAGATGTAATGTTTATTGTGGTTCTTTTGCTCATTTTGGTCACTCCATGTAAAATACATCACTTCTTTCATTTTGATTCCTACATGAAAAACATTCCAATATATAATGTTTACCCACCATGTATCTTTTCATTTTGATCTAGTTTTCCAATCTAACACAAATTAAAGTAATAATTAAAAAAGTAAAGTCTATGGGATTTGTTTTTTACAAAGATCTAAATTTTATGGCATGATCTAAAAATAGATGTGTAGGATAAGACACAAATTTTATGCTAATAACAATGTAATTAGTAGAATGAAGCAGGGCTGTTTATAGATAAATTAGGGCTAAGACAAAATTTATAATAAAGACTTAATATTTTTTTTAATGATGTATTTTCATTTAAATAATTGTTTTTCATTAAAGTTAAAAATATCAGTATTTTTATTTTTATCTTTTAAAATTTTTCAAAACCAGATTCGATAATTTTTTTTCTAAATTTTATACCTTGACTCAAATATAGGAATAAAATATAAAGGAAAGACCAAAATAAATCATATAAATAATATATTTTAAAATAAATTATTTAAATAAAATTTAATACTCTACAATTCCCAGCATACATACCCTCAAGTGCAAGATTTTATGATATTTTTAGTTGGAACAACATCGATTTTCAAAATAAAACACAATATGAAAGTTTATTTCTTCAAATCTTAAGTTAACTTAGAAATATAATAATATTATAATACATAGGTGGGTATAATTCTCATCTTATTGAATTAGTCTTATAAAATTGAGTTAGGTTTTTAATAATTTCTAAGATCATATTAAAATCAATTTTAATGATATTGGGACATTATTTATTAATGGTTATGAAATAAATTTTCTGTTATCAACACTAATATTGAACAATGTAAGTTCGACTTATGAACGTATCAGATAATTAATTCTCATGTTTGTGTCATAATTTTATTCTTAAAAGACGTCTCAATAGGTTGAAAGAAAATGATGTATATAAACTACTCTTAGTCTTACTTCTAAGCGATGTGAGACTCATAAACGTATCAAAACAAAAAATCTTACATGCTTATATATAAAAAGATTATTTTTTAAACAATATTTTTAAATTTTTGATAATATAATTTTTTTATATTATCATTGGAGGAAAATTACTTTAAAAAATTAATATAATTTACATGTTAAAAAAATTGTTAACAACATTAAAACCAATTTAATAATGGGTTGATTTGTGAATAACTTGCAACTCTCTAACCCAATATCTTATGGTATTGTTAAACATCATTACAAATAGATCAAAAGAAATGAATCTAGGAAGACATCGATAATTGTAAAGAATCGAAATGTTAATTGATAAAGGAGGTATTATGAAAATAGAAGATCGATAAAGAAGTGTTATCGAAAAAGGGGATTGAGAAATATCGAGAAAGTCAGAGCACCACCAATTGAGAATCAAAGGTTTAAGGGGTAAGGAACATCAAAGTTAAGAGACACAATGCATTGAAGAAACAAGATATTAAAAAGAGAATGTGCTAGGGAATCTTCATGTGGTATATCGAGAGATTTGTGAAGACAATTATTACCTAGTTCCTTGGTGTGCACAATTACAAGTGACACGTATCAACAAAGTGAATGAAAAGATAGGAGAAGCAGTTATAAGGAAACAACCATTCAAATATTTTATTTGTTATTTATATCACCTTGGTGGTTACATGGGAAAATATAAATGGGATAAAATAAATGTAATTATGGTGATTGTCAAATTGTATGATGAAACTTACATTTTGAAAAATGCTACAAATAGGGAACAAGCATTTTCAATGGAATTTTTTGCAATTTAGATAGTCACTTTCATTGATTTTTCTTTACCAAATTCTGCTATATCCTTGGTAATAGGTAAAATTTATCTTTCTGTCATTTAATTCGTTTGCACTTTTACTTTTCAACAATTTACTTTTATTGTCTTTTTCTATTCTAGCAATTTACTTTAAATGTTTCAAATCAAATTGAAAATAAAAGTTGGATGCGACCAATCTCTAATTGAAATATATTGTGTGCTAAATATTGAGTAATTAATATAAAGAATTCGCATGGTGTTTAAGTGATTTATTGCGTAATTGCATAGATATGTTTAATTAAATTGAACAACAAATTATTTACATTATAAACAAATTGACAGGCCTAGTGGACTACACAAGTATTAAGAAAAAAAGATATAATAATGTATGATATTAAGAAGTGGTAGAATAATTATGGCAAATCAAATCACACAAAGTTCTATATCTAATTCTGCGGTAACAACCAATGCGGTGCTGAACAACAAAAATGAGAGTCAAAATGTGGGAAATGTGAGTAAAAATGTTCAAGATTGTACTATTGATCCAAATAATGATAGTCAAGGCAATCAAGAAACATCGATAATTCAGCCAGTAAATAATATGATAAGTAGCACTTATGTAGGACTATATAGTGTATTGGGAGAATACATCAATTCAAAGAAATAATCAGGGAGTTTCATCATGAGAACCAACCCCAAATTGTGGTAGGATGTATGATCGAAGTCAAAGTCAACTAAGACTAGGAAACAATAGAGGAAATAATAGGAATCAAGGTGACTTTGATAACATAAACACAAGGATATCAAGTAATATGTTAGGGGTCATATGACAACAAATAGGTGATAGTAATCATGAGATGATTAATTTGTTGTCCCAACAAATGACCACCACTTTGAATCCTTTAGTACAGACAACCGTTGATAGTTTTAAAAAAGGTTAGTTGAACAAATGCAAGTATAGGAGATGTATTAGTCATTTCAAGGAGAAATAATTTGGTGAATGATAATATGTAAATAAGAAATAATCAAGTTGAACCCTTGAGGAGCAGAACAATAACAATCGAAATATGCAAGGAGATTATAATTCACTAAGAAATGTTAGAATGGTCAATATATGTCAAGATGTGTACCAAATCTTACATGTTTGGGATAATATAAGAAGGAATAATGAGAATTTTCAACAAAATGCTTATAACCAAGTAATCGGGCAATGAAATCAACCAAATGTGGGAATGTGATTATATAATCAGTCATATTTTATTTCACCTTTTCCTGATTTTGTGCTCGAGGCTGAATTGCTTAGAGGACAAAAAATTCCAAAGTTTATAATATTTGCAGGTGATATTGGGGAGTCTACTATCGAACATATAGTTAGATATCAAATTGAATGTGAGAACTTGCTAACAAGTGAGAGGTAATGAAATATTTTCCAAGTTCTTTAATAAAGAATGCTTTTACTTAGTTCACATTATTACCTCCTAATTCAATATTTAATTGGGCACAATTAGAAAGAAGTTTTCATGAACAATTTTTTAGAGGAGAAACTTAAGTTAGTTTGATTGATTTGATGAATGTTGAAAGATATCATAATGAAAATATAGATGATTATTTGAACAAATTTAAACATGTGATAAAGGTGTTTCACATAGATTCTTGAGAGTGAGGTAGTAAGAATGACAACGGCAATGTTAGAGTTTTCGATAAGGAAGAAATTAGTTAATGTGCCTTTGAGGGATATGACTCAATTAGTAGATAAAGTTCGAAGGATCGAACAAATTAAATATGAGAAAGAGAGGTATCATAAATTTGGTAAAGTAGTAAAAAAAGATAAAATTGGGTATATTGGAATAGATAAATATAAGGAGTTATTAGATATTTTAGAAAAAAAAATGAGGATGAAGAAACAAGTGAAAATGATGATGAAATAAATGTTACTAAAATTAAAGTTTGTCCACCTTATATTGTAATTTATCACAAAAGAGTGAAGTTTCTGATAAAATGGTGAACCAAAGCTATAGTTTTGATGTGATTAGGGCAAATAAATTTTTTGACATCTTATTAAAAGATAAAAAAATAAAGTTGAGTGATGACTATAAATTGTCATCTTTAAAGCAAAGGAGAGAACAAAAATATTGCAAGTTTCATAATATATTTGGACATTGGACTAATAATTGTATTCATTTGAAGAACATGATACAAGATGCTATCAAACAAGGTAGATTGAAATTCAAAGAGAAACTAATGAAGGTGGATACCAATCTTTTCAAAACTCATGTGAGTTACATAGAAATCAAACTGAACACTACTAATGGTGTTGAGAATATTGAGCATCATATGGATGATTTAGGAATTTACATGGTGGATATCACTTCAGAAGATGTTAATCCGCATCATGTTAAATTAAATGATGTATAAGAAGGGAAAGAGTTGCATTAATTACGAGAAATTAGTATTTATGAGGGTATTGAAATGCAATG